CCCCTAAATCAGGTTATAACCATGGTTATCCTACAAAAACCCCCACTTATATGTACCCATGAACCTCCACGTGCTGCCGTTGTTGTAATTACGTGCTTGTGTCACGCGCGACTGCAGTGCCATAATGTGCGAAATGCAGTGGGGAGGGGGGGTGAGGATTTCGAACTTTCAGGTTGGATCTGTGGCTTGGAGAAATGGGCATTCAGGGGTTCATTTGGGGGGTTACAGCGTGGACGATCCTGTTCTGGATGGTGCCCCCCTCCGTCCGTGTAAACATCAAGCATGATAGCCCTGTTCCGGGCCACTTAATTCATAGTCACATCCCCAGGACTGCACACAGCGCACGCTTCTCACCAAGAACCCCGAAACCCTAACCCCTAAACCCGAAACCCTAAACCCTCAACCCTAAAGGCTCTCGGTGGATTGCAGCTGCGTCCGGCTGGCCTGGAGCTGCATCGTTTCATAGCGCTCCCGCAACTGGGCGTTTTCCTGCTCCAGCTCCTGGTTTAGGGTTTAGGGTTTAGGGTTTAGGGTTTAGGGTTTAAGATAGGGCGACTCTCGAACTGACTTGCCATCAACCCTGAACCCTAAACCCTAAACCCCAAACCCTAAACCCTAAACCCCAAACCCTAAACCCCAAACCCTAAACCCTAAACCCTAAACCCTAAACCCCAAACCCCAGAACCTAGCCAGGGATGGCCTGGAGTCTCGCGGCCGTCGCCAGGTCGGATGGAGCTCCCAAGGGAGATGGCGGCGGAGGCACAGCCTCTTCGGTGGCGCTTTCGGGGTTTAGGGTTTAGGGTTTAGGGTTTAGGGTTTGGGGTTTAAGGTTTAGGGTTTAGGGTTTAGGTTCAAGGATGAGTATCGTTCCCGTTGTGCTTAGTGGTGCTTTTTGTTCTTTATCATAACTATGATCACACTTATTACGGATATGGTTGTTGCTGCTATTCGTGTCTTGAGAATGGGATTAGACTGTGAGAATGCGCTGTAAGAAGCACAAAGCAAACACCGGAGCTGGTTTGGGAGCATGGTCACGCGTCGGGCTCTGAGCAAAGCTCCACAGCCCTTGCGGCTTAGGGTTTCGGTACCCTAAACCCTACCCTAAACCCTAAACCCTAATCCCTAAACCCCATTCACGAACCTTAAGCACTGCTACGAAGCCAAGGCCGCCACGGAGTTGAGAGATGGCAGGTTTCCTCTCTTTCCGACGGTCGCGGGCACCTGCCACAGCCAAAAGGCAAAGGTCCCAAACACAAGACCTCAACATAGGAGGTTTAGGGTTTAGGGTTGAGGGTTGAGGGTTGAGGGTTGAGGGTGGAGGGTTTAGGGTTTAGGGTTTAGGGTTGAGGGTTGAGGGTTGAGGGTTGAGGGTTGAGGGCTGAGGGTTGACGGTTTTCAGGGTTGAGGGTTGAGGGTTGACGGTTTTCAGGGTTGAGGGTTGAGGGTTGACGGTTTTCAGGGTTGAGGGTTGAGGGTTGAGGGTTGAGGGTTGAGGGTTGAGGGTTGAGGGTTGAGGGTTGAGGGTTGAGGGTTGAGGGTTGAGGGTTGAGGGTTGAGGGTTGAGGGTTGAGGGTTGAGGGTTGAGGGTTGAGGGTTGAGGGTTGAGGGTTGAGGGTTGAGGGTTGAGGGTTGAGGGTTGAGGGTTGAGGGTTGAGGGTTGAGGGTTGAGGGTTGAGGGTTTGGGGTTTAGGGTGTAGGGACCCCCCCCCCCCCCAAAGAGCCTCTAACCGCTAAACCCTGAAAGCCTAAACCCAATTGCCCATGTGGGCCCAAGCCAAGGTCAAGGAAATGTAGAAAACACCCTCCCCGTAGGGTTTAGGGCTTAGCGTGCAAGGTTCGAAGTTTAGGGGATCGGGTTTTACAGTTTATGGTCTGATTGTCTTTAAACCTGAAGTGACAATTCAAGAAACTGTGTTCTTGGTGAGGAACGTGAACTCTGATTAGGCTACCATAATGGACATAATGTCAGGCAACTTAACCCAAGTTCCTGACCAAGACCTTCGGAAGCCAGAACCCCAAATCCTAAACCCTAAACCCTGAACCCTAAACCCTGAACCCTGAACCCTGAACCCTAACCCTGAACCCTAAACCCTAAACCCTAAACCCTACACCCTGAACCCTAAATCCTAAACCCTAAACCCCACGCCAGGAGTACAAAGCCGGAAGCCGCCAATGCTGCGATCGAATCGATGGAGTGCCTTGCAATGAAGGAGAGTGGCAGGTTTGGTTTAGGGCTTAGGGTTTAGGGTTTAGGGGTTTAGGGTTTAGGGTTTAGGGTTTAGGGTTTAGGGTTTGGGGTTTAGGGTTTAGGGCTTAGGGCTTAGGGCTTAGGGCTTAGGGTTTAGGGTTTAGGGTTTAGGGTTTAGGGTTTAGGGTTTAGGGTTTAGGGTTTAGGGTTTAGGGTTTAGGTTTCGGGGCTTACTTTTTTCTGGTTGGGGTTTAGGGCTCAGAATCACCCCAGACATGCTCCTACAACACCTCAGGGGCCCCGGCTGATCCTCGATGGCTGACAGATCTGCGTCAATGGGGACCCCGGTGACCTCTGCCTGACGGAAACATCTCCTAAACCCTAAACCCTAAACCCTAAACCGAAAGCCTAAACCCTAAACCCTCCCTTACTTTTCGGAGCTGCGCGGCGCGACGCCCTCACGAAACACGCCCTCCCATGCTGAAGGCCAGTCACCGGGGTTTAGGGTTTAGGGTTTAGGGTTTAGGGTTTAGGGTTTAGGGTTTAGGGTTTAGGGTTTAGGGTTTAGGGTTTAGGGTCACAGCACCGTTCCCTGTTACCAAGCCTCTCCTGGAGGTTCATGGTACCTATGAACCAGTTATGGCTGTACTTTTAACTGCACTTATAGAACCATATTGGGGCACTTAAGGGGCTTGTAGGTACAGTGATAAACCCTAAACCCTAAACCCTAAACCCTAATGGCTAACAAGTACCATGAACCTCCCAAGGGCCCCCAGAACCGAAGCCTTGGAAAATACTGGCCTGGAATATCTCAAACTCACATGGGTTTAGGGTTTAGGGTTTGGGATTTTCTAGGGTTTGGGGTTTAGGGTTTGGGGTTTAGGGTTTAGGGTTTAGGGTTTAAGGTTTTGTAGGGTTTTTTAGGGGGGTTTAGGGTTTAGGGTTTAGGGTTTAGGGTTTAGGGTTTAGGGTTTAGGGTTTGGGGTTTAGGGTTTAGGGTTTAGGGTTTAGGGTTTAGGGTTCAGGGTTCAGGGTTTAGGGTTTAGGGTTTAGGGTTAGGGTTTAGGGTTTTGGCATCCCCAGGTGGCACCGCCAGAAGCCCACAAAGTACAAGCCTGAACTCTCTAAGCCAAATCTCTAGGACGCCGGGCCCGATGGAGCACCTGCGAAACGTAGACCGCCGAGAGGTTCACAAAGCCCTGGTGTGTAGCGGTTTAGGGTTTAGGGTTTAGGGTTTAGGGTTTAGGGTTTAGGGTGTAGGGCTTCATGAAGGTTTTGGGTCAAGAGTTGGGGGCTTAGGGTTAAGGGTACAACATAGTACAACATACCCGTGTACCTCAACAGACTTTATCTCCTGACTAAAACGAACACTCAAAAACCTTCCATGTCACATTCCCTCTTACTGCTTTCTGCCTCTCTACAAAGGCCAAGAAGCCAAGCTATAAGAACGCGGCCGGGGTGTAACAAGGACAGCTCGTTTCTTCTCACGCACGGATCTGCCTCAATCTGTCGGGCAGCGATAACACTATGGAGGCACTGCACGTGCGCGCAGGAGATGCATGTCCGTTCGGATATGCAAGGAATCGGATCATTGCGCGTGTGCCAAGTTCAGGCATGTGCACAGCATTTTGCCCTAAACCCTAAACCCTAAACCCTAAACCCTAAACCCTAAACCCTAAACCCTAAATAGCTGTGCGCCTGCGCCTACGCGACCCGCAACCAGAGAGCGGGCGTGCGAGAACGGCGAGAACCTGCAAGTCCCTTTTGAGCCAGCCAAGCCCAAATCCTGAGCCCAAAAGCGTCAAATTCTTCGACACTTGGGAATATTTTATATCTTTTTCGGCACTCTATTTCCTAAGAAGCAGCAAAGAATTATATATTTTTGCTAGGGTACTTGCAGCACACTCCCACGACCTCTGGTGGTCTGCGCCAAAGGGTGCGGAAAACGCCCATGCGAGCCATCACCCACGGCTTGGAGCAGGCTTGGGGCTTGGGGTTTGGGGCTTGGGGCTTGGGGTTTGGGGTTTAGGGTTTAGGGTTTAGGGTTTAGGGTTTGGGGTTTGGGGTTTGGGGTTTGGGGTTTGGGGTTCAGGGTTTAGGGCTTAGGGTTTTGGGCTTAGGCTTTAGGGGAACCTGCGCTCAGGACAAAAGGGATCTCTCTGGATAGCTCCACTGTCATGCTCCAAGCAGTCATGGGTAGTTATAAGTAGGGCTAGAAGTAGGGTAAGTGTACATCACAACCACTTAGGGGTTTAGGGTTTCGGGTTTAGGATTTAGGAGTTTAGGGTTCAAGGCGCTGAAAACCTACTTATGACGACCCATGAACCTCCAAGTAGCCTGTGCTCGCAAGGTGCGGAGAGGGCAGAGCCTTCGGCTCTATGCACCATCCAAGCTGTTGGCGGCGTCCAAGATGGTCCGGAAGCAACATCCATGAGTTTGCAACATATGAGTTTGGGGTTTAGGGTTCAGGGTTTCGGTTTTAGGGTTTAGGGTTGAGGGTTGAGGGTTGAGGGTTGAGGGTTGAGAGTTTAGGGTTTAGGGTTTAGGGTTTAGGGCTGAGGGGGATGGACATGCTTTGAGATCCGGAGGGTCCCGCTGTCTTGGAAACGGCCGTCTCTCGGAGAACAAAAACCCAACACTACCTGAAGCGCCGCCTCGTTGCAGGCGCGCTCCATCCGTGGACTGCGTCACGTCTCAACCCCCAGGATGCTTTTAAGCTTCGGGGGCTTTTTGGCCTTTCTTCATGGTGTTTGGGGAGTCTCAGGGGGCAGAGTCGTGTGAAAATGGGGGGGGAATACTGCCTTTTGGCAGCTCACACCATGTGCACGGCTTCTTCAGGAATCTCGGGCTTGATCCGTGCCTGTCGGAAGACGACAGGGGAGCAGCGGGTGTCTACTAAGCACCCAGTCGGAAGGTGGCGTACCCATCTACAGGAGAAAAAAACAAAAAAAACGTCAACTCTCAGCCAATCTTCTGAGTCCAGAGCGCTAAACCCTAAACCCTAAACCCCAAAACCCAGCTACATGATGTTGAAACTTCCAGTTTCAACGGCCTCTCGACGAACCAGACCTCCGTGAGAGATCGCTCTGATGTGGATCCTCGGAATCGCGTTTGGGGCACCCCCCTCTCTCCTTAAACCCTAAACCCTAAACCCTAAATCCTAAACCCTAAACCCTAAACCCTAATCCCTAAACCCCAAACCCTAAACCCTAAGCCCTCTCTCTCCATCTCTCCTAAACCCTCAAGCCCCGCTCCAGCCAAGGCTCTCTGACTTTGAGAGGTTGAGATCCTTGGAGGCTTTAGGGTTTTGGGTTTAGGGTTTAGGGTTTAGGGTTTAGTGTTTCGGGTTTAGGGTTTAGGGTTTAGGGTTTAGGGTTTCGGGTTTAGGGTTTAGGGTTTAGGGTTTAGAGTTGAGGGGGATCCTTTCAAACCCTCTGAAAAATATTCCTGAATAAGATCCTCTTAAACGGTTTAGGGTTTCGGGTTTAGGGTTTAGGGTTAGGGTTTAGGGTTTAGGGTTTATGTGAAATGTCTCTTAAGGGCCATACCTAGCTGCTTGAGGTAGTTGTTGACTGAACAGGCCTTGCAAACATGAGATTTAGAAACCGTCTGCCAGCCTTCCCCCCCCGCCCCCGCTCCATAAACCACTTTCTCGTCCAAGTGACCTGAAGATTTCTAAAGGAAGCATAACAACTTTGGGAATGGCATACGAAACAACTCCCCCAAGAAGCAAACACTGCCCCAAACAGTTCTTTTGGGAAGGTCACCTTTGGAAGGATCCAAGAAAGCCAAAAACTAGAATCCGTACTACCCTAATTATTCTGGGAACGTCATCTTTACAAGAACCGACACAAAAAAGACACTGGAACCCTTATTCCCCCAACTGGAACCCTTAACCCTAAACCCCAAACCCTAAAACCTAAACCCTAATCCCCAAACCCTAAACCCTAAACCCCAAACCCTAAACCCTAAACCCTAAACCCTTCATGCCGGAGCTGCGAAGAAGCCGTAGGCGTCGTCGAGCCCATACAGCTCCGGCATGCCTCGCATGGGAGCGGGGAAGCTCCCTAACGGCTAGGCTACTCTAGGGTTTCGGGTTTAGGGTTTAGGGTTTAGGGTTTAGGGTTTAGGGTCTAGGGTCTAGGGTCTAGGGTTTAGGGTTTAGGGTTTAGGTTTAGGGTTTACGGTTTAGATGCCCTTTAGTTAGGCTTGATTATCCCCAAATAGCCTTACTGATGGGGTGACGAGAGCAGGCTCCCTCGTCTTCTGAAAGCTTTTTTCAGGTTTTGGGGTCTCGGGTTTGGGGGTTTGGGGGTTTGGGGGTTTGGGGTTGAGGTGTTTCGCGCTCAAACAAGCTCAAGACTCCTCCAATCCCTGCGTTCTCCGGAGAGAAAAACATCTTGGGGCCAAGTACGATCGGATGTGATCCCGCCGCCACCGCCGGAGATGATGGTCGTGAAGGGAAACCTGGGCGCCTCAGGTAAACTTTGCCCCTATGTTTCAAGCTTCAAAGTGGCTGGGTTTTCAATGCTTTATGTGTTACCCTTATACCTGAATATAGCCCCTAGATACCCTAATAGGAACCCCGAATATATGCCCTATAAGACAGCAACCCTGCTTCAAGAGGCCACCAACCCATATAGCCCATGAGGCATCGTGGTAGGATGCCGCAAGAATCTTCAGTTGAAGGCCAGGCATTCTCACATGGCCCAAACCCTCTCAACATTGTACATCAAGCAGGGTCCGCATGACATGCCCTCTGAAGTAGCTGGGACACAACGCAGCGCACGTGTGAGGCGAGTGGCTGTAGAGGTGGTCTCGTTCTTCAACGTAAGCTGCTGGTAGTGGCGGTGGCCACTAATGAACAGATCGAGCCCATGCCTGAATCACTTGGGTAAGATCTCTGCTGCAGCTGGTTGCGATCAACTCCCTACTCTCGTCTCTTCGCCCATTCACAAGATGAGCTCCACTTCCATCGAAAACCATCCATGGGCCACAGTCACCAAATTGAACCACAGAGATCCCTTGCGACGCCCAAGCTGTTTCACCGCGAAGCTTGCGCCCAAACTTGGACCAGTATTCTGCCTTGGACACCACATCGGGTGAGAAACACTGAGGGGCGTAGACGAAAACCGCAAGAAGGCCCCAAGCTGCGATGAGTTCGGTGCGTTACCGATCCTACACTTCCAATAAAGGGGCTGACGAAGTACAGCACTGGCTTTGCTACAGGTGCTCTGAAGATGGAAACGAGCTGTGTGCTGCACGATGCTGGACATGATCAGGAGCGCCACAGCATCATGTTGCCGTGAAGCCCTGAATCACTGGCTGGTTCTTAGTGGAATGAGGGAACGAGGTAGAGGGTATAGGGTTTAGGGTTTAGGGTTTCGAAACCCTAAACCCTAATTCCGTCATACCCTACTAAGAACCAGGGGATCATTGCCAGGCCATCGGCGTTGTACTCTGGCGGGAAGTGAGAGACGACGATTTGCCAGTCCTCGAAAAGTGGACAAGGTGCTTCAGGGCTTCGGGTCGTCACGCAGATTTCATACGGAAAAACAACTAAGCCTAAACCCTAAACCCTAAACTCTAAACCCTAAACCTAAACCCTAAACCCTAAACCCTAAACCCTAAACCCTAAACCCTATCCCTAAACCCTGTAAAATCCGAAACCCTGTAAGCCCCAAACCTTAAACCAAAACAGTACAGACCCTCGTGGCAATAGCAAATGACCAAGCCGTGGCTCGGCCGTTGACTGCCCCAATCGCAGGTCCAGCCACCTGTGGTGAGAACTCCAGCTTTTGTGTGTTTGAGGTTTCGGGTTTAGGGTTTAGGGTTTAGGGTTTGGGGTTTAGGGTTTAGGGGGGGGGTTTAGGGCTTAGAGTACCTTAAGGTAGGGTAGAACAAACGCCCCATGTACCTCGTCGCTGATTCGTTTGGAAGCGGGCTGGGCGAGAAGGTTTAGGGACGGGGTTTAAGCAGCGACAATGCCTCAAAAAGCCACAGGACGAAACCCTGCAGGGGCCTCACATCTCTGCGACCTAACATAGGCGCGTGAGGGCTCTACTGCCACATGAGAAGGATGAAGAGTCGAGTGGGTTTAGGGTTTAGGGTTTCGGGTTTAGGGTTAGGGTTTAGGTTTGAGGGTTTCGGGTTTAGGCTGAAACCCCCTCTTGTCCATAAAGACGAGGCTGCTGCACACTTCGTGAATGGTTTCCACACTTCGTTAATCGTTTCCACACCACACCTCGCTTTCGTCCCAGAACAGCTGTGCAGACGCTGTATGTGTTTCACCGGACACTCACCGGCACCACAACCCTAAACCCTAAACCCTGAAAAACGAACAGGCAAGCCGCCTGCTCTGAACCTCCCAGAGCGCACCAAACCAGCCATTGCAGGAGTCGAGACTAAATGGTCCTCGGCAGTAGCCGAAGTCTTGCAGTCGGGTTTAGGTTTAGGGTTTAGGTTCAGGGTTTAGGGTTTAGGGGTAAGGGTTGAGGGTGTTTCAAGAGGTTCTACCTTGGACCCTTAGGGGAAATTGGGGACCCTTTTAAAGATCCCTAAGGGGATACAAGGGCCTTATTAGGAGTATATGAAGGCTACTAAGGGGGAACCTTTAGGGTTACAACCTTAGGAGTATGAGTCTTCATTCCTGAAGTGCTTTCTCCCAAATGTGTCAAGACTATGGGGTTGAGGGTTTAGGGTTTAGGGTTTTGGGTTTAGGGTTTGGGGTTTAGGGTTTGGTGTTTAGGGTTTACGGTTTAATCAGGGTTTAGGGTTTAGGGTTTAGGGTTAGGGTTTAGGGTTCAGAGTTCAGGGTTCAGGGTTCAGGGTTCAGGGTTCAGGGTTCAGGGTTTAGGGTTTAGGGTTTAGGGTTTGGGGTTTAGGGTTTAGGGTTTAGGGTTTAGGGTTCTAACGTGCAAGGTGAAGGCGGCTCTATCGGCTGGCGTGCGCAGAGCCCGCGGACGGTTCACGCACTTCGGGCCATTGGGTTTTCCTCGCCGTCATCGCTTTTGGACGTCTGGACTCGCGAAATGCGACAGTGTCGTCGCTTTTGGTCGTCTGAGAGGTCCAAAAAACATGGAAGAGTGGCAACAATGATCATGGGAATTACAAGGAGAGCAATAGCAAAAACAACAGTAATCATGAAAATGGCAACTCTAATTACTTGCAAAGAAAGAGGAATCATGACAAAAAAACAGAAATAACGACAGAAATCTGAACGGCAGCCACAGTGATGGTGATGGTGCTGCGGATGACGATGATCATGGTAGCCGCAAAAGCGAAACGCCGATGCTAAAAAACAACGACTTCAACAGGGTCATCAAAAAACAACGACAACCATAACATTAGTATCCATAACACCAATAAAATAAACAGTACCAGCTAAAACATGCTGAGTAGCTGCGCTGGTAGCACTGCAAAACGGCCTATACTTCTGAGTGTTTTCATTCGTGGCAAAGACTGCCCAACACCGGTTGCAGCCTGGCGTCCTGTGAGGGGGCACCTCGGCTGAAGCAGCTCCACAAGTCACAGGGACACTAGCTGGTCACTTCTCGAAAAATATGGTCTCTTTTTTGTTGGGGGGGGGGGCGTACTTTATAGTATAGAGAACGGACTAACTCCAAATCCTGAACCCTAAGATCACACCACACTGCCAAGCTCGTTGCGCTTCTGGGGTACGAGAAACCTCAACCCAGACAACCTCGACGTCCTCTGAACCAGCTGATGCCGGCGCGCCGCGACGAGTTCTTGGCGTTGTATTTCTCACTACAGATGTTGTGCCCAACGGTCTTGTTCGGCTCCCAGGCATTGTGGATGTTGGAGTCCTTGGAAGATGTAAACCCCAAACCCTAAACCCTAAACCCCAAACCCCAAGCCCCAAACCCCAAACTCCAAACTCCAAACCCTTCTCATCGGAATGTCAAGGTCCCTTAGAGGCGACTCTAAGGCAAGAGCCACGAAGTAGTAGTCGATCGAAAAGCTGGGGTAGTGCACCTTGACCTGCAGTTTTGGGGTTAGAGTTTAAGGTTTAGGGTTTAGGGTTTAGGGTTTCGATTTTCGGGTTTAGGGTTTAGAGTTTCGAGTATAGGGGGGGTGCAGAACGCAGCAATAGCGCCATACCCTGAACCCTAAACACCCTCGCCTGCCAGAATTGGCCTGGCGTCAGCCATCGCCTTGTCGTGCCAGCCTTAGTGCGGGTTTCGGGTTGAGGGTGTCAGGTTTAGGGTTTAGGGTGTAGAGTTTAAGGTTCCTGGAATAAGGACTAGGAAGTATATAAGGGGTACACCCCCCCCCCCCCATTTTTCAGGAAAGGTCACAACTAAAACCGTAAGCCCCAAGCCAAGAATCCAGATTGGCGACGATGTCTCCTAAACCCTAAACCCTGAACCCTAAACCCTAAACCCTAAACCCTGACCCCAAACCGCCGAGTGGCTGCCCAGGTGTACCAAATCGTCTCGTGCCAGCCCGAAGTGAACAGAAAGCCTGAATGGCGACCCCTCAATCCTCAACCCTAAACCACACCCAGGTGTGGCAACACCCAGGTGTGGCAACACCCAGGTGTGGCAACTAAGCTGCGGTTTAGGGTTCAGGGTTCAGGGTCTAGGGGGATTAGGGTTTAGGGTTTAGGGTTTAGGGTTTAGGGTTTAGGGTTTAGGGTTTAGGGTTTAGGGTTTAGGGTTTAGGGTTTAGGGTTTTTAGGGTTTAGGGTGTAGGGTTTGCCCGCTCAGGGCTCATGTCTGGTTTTACCAGAATAAGGGTGCCCTGTTGGAGGGGACCAAGCAAGAGCGCTTTCAGGACTCACATGGGCAACTCTCTAAACTGGGGCCCGGGTACCCGCAAGAAGACAAGGCTCCATAACCCTATGCCGCCTATGCCCTAACCCTAAACCCTAAACCCTAAACCCTAAACACTAAACCTTCACATGAAAGAAAGAAGGAGAGCACCCACCAGGCCTCCGTAGTCATGGTTACCCAGGATTCCTAGCCATTGCCGCCCGTCGATTCCGGGACCTTCGCGCGGGAGTGTTAGGGTTTAGGGTTTAAGGTTTAGGGTTTAGGGTTGAGGGTTTAGGGTTTAGGGTTGAGGGTTTAGGGTTTAGGGTTTAGGGTTCAGGGTTCAGGGTTCAGGGTTTAGGGTTTGGTGAAGTCCTGCCTGACGTCCGAAGCATGAGAAGGCATCAGCCCCGCAATCTAGACTGCGTTTGCTCGACTGCCCTGACGCACTGCCTCAACTCCTAAAAACCCCTGAATCCTGCTGCCTGACGTGTGGGGAGTGTGCCTTCCATTCCTGCGAGACCACTGCTCTGAGAAGCTCATGCCCTAAACCCTAAACCCTAAACCCTAAACCCTAAACCCTAAACCCTAAACCCTAAACCCTAAACCCTAAACCCGCTGCGAATCTTGGGCTGAACCGGCGGAAGGCGCGGGGGGGCCTGTGTACATGGACTCGTAGATGGGCTCCCACCTTGGCGATGCAAGCCCCACCTCCCCTGCTGATCCCGCTGCTGGACACAAGGAGACAAGGAGGGGGTTTAGGGTTTAGGGTTTAGGGTTTAGGGTTTAGGGTTTAGGGTTTAGGGTTTAGGGTTTAGGGTTTGGAGTATTGTAAAACTTGAGAGGTTTCGCAGGCTCTTTGTCCATTAACTTCGGGGTGTGGGGCACGGCACGCCTCCGAACTAGTGAGGTTGAAGATTCGGGCCCCTAAAAACGCTAAACCCTTAACCCTAAACATCGCGATGAGGGCTTCGCTGATGCCAGCTGAATCCGCTGTCCATCACGTTGTCGCTGCAATTGCTATCGGCGCCACCCCAATAGAAGTTGTCTCCTGGATCAGGCTGCTTGCAGCTTTACAATACTCCAATTACCCTAGACCCTAAACGCTAAACCCAAAACCCTAAACCCTAAACCCTAAACCCTAAACCCTAAACCCTAAACCCTAAACCCCCCCCCCCCAAACCTAAGGAGCCCCCTGCATGGACCTAAGAACGCAGAGGTGGGCTTCAGTGAGCGACATGGGATTCCAAGAAGCATCTGCAGCTGTTCAAGCCCTCAACCCTCAACCCTCAACCCTAACCCTCAACCCTAACCCTAAAACCCTAAACCCTTAACCCTAAACCCTAAACCCTAATCCCCCTAAACCCTGAACCCTGGGTACGTTGAAGTTGTGGGATGCGGACAGTACGAGGCTCCAGCTATCGGGTGACTCCGGAGAGGACTTCGGAGCAGGCCAGGTGTGGCAAGTCCCTGAGCCCTGGTTTAGGGCTTAGGGTTTAGGGTTTAGGGCTTAGGGCTTGGGGTTTAGGGTTTAGGGT